TATATATATATATATATATATATATATATTGTAGTTAGATACAATACCTTTATTTATTTATTTTTCTGTGGTGCTGCGGATTGAACCCAGGGCCTCGAAAGTGCTAGGGGAGCACTCTACTGCTGAGCCACAACCCCAGCCAACTGAGTGGGTGCTTTGTCTGAATCACAATGCCTCCTATGGTGATCTTCAAGTCATAAGGTTTTGCTGGTACAAGTTCCTTCTTAAGCAGAATCAAGGAAACACAATTAAAAGACAGATATGCTGGTATATCCTGACTACTCAAGAGATTTAGGCAGGAGGATTTCAAGTCTGAGACCAGCCTGGACAATTTAGCAAGACATGTTTCAAAATAAAAAGTACTGGGGATGTAGCAGTAGAGTACTTGCCTAACATGCAAAACGCCCTTGGTTTGATTCTCAGTACTGCAAAACTGAACAAACCACAAGTAAATTCTGTGAGGTAAGAAGAAAGAATACATTCCATGTTAACAAATGTGTGTTTATATTCCATGTGAACAAAGATCACCTTTACTGTCCTAATTAGACCACAACCACCATACACATGATAAGTTTCTTGTAGTGCTAAACTAGAAAAAGACTCAATGCTTTTCAGGATTACAAAGAAATGTAATAACACAGGGAAGATAATTGAATAAAATGCCTTAAGAAGTTTAGTAACCATTTTGTATATCGATACTTGTATCACTGAGCCCTCTGGCCTTTGGTATCTGCCCCCAAACCACCTTAAATTGCACTGACAGTTTTATCATGTTCCAATATTCTTTTCATAAGGTATCCCTCCCATTAAAAAATCCAAGACCAAACTCCTTAATCCTGGCAATTCTCGCTCTTTGTGTAACTTCTTGTGCTTTTCAAAAAATCATTATTTTAATCAAGCTTTCCAAATCACACTTATTCTCCAGTCAACCTACTCTTTCTTAAGCTATGTGTATTTGCTGACTTATCACCTACTACATGGAATGCCACTTTTTTTTTTTTAATCTTCTGAAAATTTGCCAGTTACTTGAATTGGTACCATATTGTGAAGCTCTCCCTAAATAATTCTGCTCATGTTGATCTAAGATCCTGAAGCACCTGTGATTTACAACAGTCATTTGGGCATTGAGAACGGTCCAGAACATTATTAAATGTTCTGAGGCTCATTTTTTCTACAGTTTTGGTATGAGCTTCTGGAGGATTTTTGTGTAAAAGCAAAAATCCATCAGTTATCATGAATCAACCCAAATAATGAGACATTGATAATATTGGAATAATCACAGACATACAAAATAGATTAACAATAGAAAAAACAATTTTTTAAAAATATCAATGTTTGTTTCTTAGTTTTCTTTTTTTAATAAACAGAAATATTGTGGTTTCAAGTACATTAATTTAACATCTCGTTCATCTTGTGTTTTATTATTTTATATTCGCTAATATGGACAAATAGTGGTCAATTAATATTTTTTGTTTATCAATATCTTCTTGAACTTTTATATTTTGGTTTTAATAAAAAATATCATTTCTGAAAATATGAATGCCAGATTTCTGTTTTGGAAATTTGTCCTGCATGAACTACCTTGACCATAGGCAGATGTGCCTGGATTTCACAGTTTATAAATATATGCAAAATTTGGGTCCAAAGCCAACTGTAATTTTCTATTAAAACTTTTAATAGATGGATTTGTCTATTACACCAGCTATACAAACACAAATAGCTATTTCACTTGAAAATTACAATATTATTGTCAACCCATATTTAAGCTAAAATAACAACAGAGCACAGTTTCTTAAAGTAGAAAATAATCTATAATTAATTTTATCTTGGTTGCTTTACCTTTCAAACCCCCACTGATAATCTGGGGAAAATACTTTCCAACTTCTTCCTAAAGACAAACACCCTCTGCAGACTCTTCATCCTGCCTCCCTTACGTGCTGCCTGTATTTTCTCTGTTTTTCCTTTAATACTTCTTTAAAACATTGAAAAACCAGAAAATTCTCTTCAACTCTCAAATCTCCAGTTACATGTCGTAAAACCCTTTGTCAGTTTACCCAGTCAGATGAACAGAATCTCCGTTTCTTTTTCAAGCAAATCACAGTTGTCTTGATAGCCTGATTTGCCAGTTTGGTTACGCTGTCTCCGTTTGGGATTCTTTGTAAAGATTACCACAAAAAGTCTAAAGTAGGGCAATTCTAGACAAAATTGGAACAGGCTTTCGCCCCGTAAAGCAACCCAGTACCTCACAAAACTTCAGGCAGAAGAATGAATGATAGAGCTTTCACCAATAGGGAGTGGAGAGGAGCATTTTGTCGAAGTTTGTAACCCAATCCTTGGAAGCCAGAGGTGGGAATTTTAAAATGGGTTTGTCTTTTCCTTGGAATTTTCTTAAAGTGGTATTGCTGCCTGTTGATGTTAAATTTTGTTGAAGACTGTAGAATCACTAGTTTAAATTAAAGGGTTCTCCCCCTTTAAGTAAGTAAAAAAATATGTAAATTGACCCTCTACAAATTGAGAGATCTAAAGAATGGTCATAAGATACACTAATATCACATACTGGCCTGGTCACTTTTGTGTCAGTTTGGGAAGGGGGTAAATGTTATTTTAACATGATTCATTTTTCATGATCAAATATAAGATGTTCGATTAATGTACCCCAAAACACAGTATTTCTTTTTTAAAAAAAGAAAACTAAGAAACTAACACTGATTTTTTAAAAAAATTGTTTTTCTATTATTCCTCTATTTTGCATGTGTGATTATTCCAGTATTAGCAACAAGTGTCATTATTTGGGTTGATTCTTAATAACCGATAGATGTTTGCTTTTATACACTCTAGGCTTCCTCATTTTAAGTCCAGCAAAAAGTTTCTGAGGTATTATGAAACTCCATAAAAGGTTTTAGGAATACAGGTTATGTATGTACATGTCACATCAGTAACTCCGGAAGACCAGATTTAATAAATAATTGATAACCATCTGATTGTAATTCATACCTTATTTTGGAACCAGTGTTATTTAGTATAACTCTCCTTTCTAGATAATTCATCTCTAAAAGTAATTAGCCAACATAAAACTAGTTCACTATAAAATTTAACGTTGACAATAAGCCTTTAGCAGGTTATCAGACCAAGCTTTTCAAAGGACAAATAATAAGTTCTAGAAGATTTTTTTTAAAAGAAGGAAAGGTGCTATAGTTATGAACACAATATTTTTAAAAAGTTTTTAATGTTCCCGAACAATGAACGTATTGAAAGACAAACAACAAAAAACCCCAAAGCCCTCTTCTTTTGATGTCTTCGTTGACAGGAATTCTTCTCTTTAAGAAATATTTTTTGACATCCTACTTAGCCATGCTAGTCACTGTCATAATGTCTAAATTATTATTGTGCTTTTTGCCAACTGTTTCTCAAAATAGACCTTGAGTGTTTAAGTGCAGACTACTTCCTCATCTTCGGAACCTATCAGTGAGCTCTTTAACCCAGGGCTTGGGCTCACTGTTCACTGACGAACCCTGCATGACATGAATCTATCAGTCTCAGTTTTAAACCCATTAGACTGGTATAATAACAGTACCTGTGTCATGGGATTGCTGTTTAGACTTAAATGAGATAATCTGTGCACGGCTCTTAGAATGCCCCAAGGTACACAACAAGCGCTCCACGTCGCGGGTTTTGTCATCCCTCAACCTATGGATTGAATAACCAGTCCGAGCGCCTGAATGAATGTACAAACAAAAGAACAGGTCAAAGACCAGCGGTTCCTGACGTTGGCGTTGGCTAAATTACTCTTTCAAGATAACTAAACAAAGAGTCGCTCTCTTCCATCCCCACGCGGGAGCCGGAAGCAAATGCAGAGCCCCTGGCGGGACCAAGGGGAAGGAAGCAGTGCTCTCCGCCAATAGGAACATCGCTGGGAAAACGAGCCTATCGTCTCACTTATCGTGAAAACGCGAGAACTGAGACGAATTATCGCGAGGTCCTGTTCTCCTTTCCTCGGCTTCCTCTTCCCCAACTCCCAGTAGTGCGGGTTCCGCCCCGCCCCCGGGGCCCGCCGGCGCTGGCCATCCCGCCCAGCCCCTCCCCGCCCCGCCCCATCCGCCGTCCCTAGGCTTGCTGTCCAGCTCCGCCCGCGCTCGGGAGCGCTGGCTGTGCCGGCGCCGAGGTGAGTGCAGCTGTCCACCCTGTCCGGAGGTTCAAGTGTCAAGGTCCCTTGGCCGAGTCCCCGGTGGTCGGGACGCTCCATACCTGACCCGGCAAAAACGCCTGGCTGCAGCGAGTGGGACTGTGGACTGCCCCGGGCCTTGGGTCACCGAGGCTGCGGGTCCTCCTCGCACTCCGTGGCCAGGGGATCGGACAGTCCGCCTAACACTGGTCTGTGAAACCCCTGCCACTATGCTAGCTGCTGCCTAACTGTAACTATCTTAGTGCTTAATTGGGGCAAAACAGCATGTGTTTTGCATGAGACTAATGTTAGCATTTCTTAGTACTAAGAAAATAATCTTCTATAAATGCTTGATACACAGTTTATAATTCCCTAATCTCCAGTGCTAGGATATCGGAATGGGTATTCTACCGTGTAGAATAGGTATGGCGAAGTCAGCCTAAGGGACTCCTTTCCTGCTTAAAATGTGTGGGATTCTCTTAAAATGGGAGGGTTTTTTGTTTGTTTTTTTAATAATAAGATTGGTGCTCATCTGTCAAAACTCAGGTGGAGGTGCAGCTGTATATAGTTAATGCTAAATACACCATTTGCTTTAACTATAGGCAAGAGATAGTGTAGTAAAATAGAAAGAAAATTATGCTGTTATAGGCTCTGTTGCCAATGAATGCATATTGGAAAACCATGAGCACTGTTGACAGCTTTCAGATTGCATTTGTATAGACTATCTGCCAGTCTATCTTCGATGCAAAATAAAATGCATTTTCTCAGGATGTAATGATGGTTTTGAGGTAACCAATTACAGCCAGAGCATTCAGAAGGAAAACCATCTGGTTAATTCTCTTATTGAATTTTCTATCAGTGAGCGTGGATGTATTTTGCTTTATGAAGCAAATACTTCATTTATATAAGTTTTGCTTACCACATAAATGATAGAAGAAGCACTAGTTACACTGAAGTGCATGAAAGGATGCCTTGTATGATGCTGCACAGACTTTGCAGTTTGCAGTTAGGCCACCTGCTTTGAAATTCTGGCAGGTTACTTTCTGAGAAACTCTGTTCTTATCTAGAAAATGGGCTAAGCAATGTTGCAATGCATGGTTGTGAGGATTAGAGATCCTTATGGCATGCAGCAAGTTTATACAAACTATAAATGGTTTTGAGATGAGTAGATGAGAAATCAGCCTTCCAGTATTATTCCAAATATTCTAATTTCATCCACTCATTAACTGTTTGAAGGCTTGCTTTTAGATACTGTGCTAGTTGTGCAGGCATGAAGAAGCAGCAAAATCTCTGCCTTCTGCGTTTTACAGGCTCTTGGTAGATTAAGAGTAAACAGGTGCACCAGTAAATATATAGATTACAAATTGCACAGAATCCAATGAAGAAAAACAGCTGGGTTGCTTGAAACGAATACCAGGGGAATACTTTAACTTGAAATAGGGAATTGGTTTTTATGTTGAAACTTGGAGGTTGATGGGGAAGTGCTTTCCAGACTTAGAGGATAGCAGAACAACAAGAACTCAAAGGAATTTTGTAGTTCCAGGAATTTGGGAAGCCAGGGAGATTGCCACAAATGAGGCTAGAGAAGTGTGTTGGGTCCAATGGCAAAAAGCCCTGAAGACCTGGTAAGAGGGTGATTTTCTAAGTAAGAAACTTCTGAAGGGTTTATTTAGTAAGATGTGTGCTTGAGAGAGAATGAGAAGCAGTTGGGTTTGCATCTTCAAAGTCTCACTACTATGATTAATGTGTTGGGAATGATTGAAGTGGACTCAGACCAGTAATAAGAGTTGACTCAATGAGGATATGACAGTGTCTATGATTCTGGCAGATGGAGAGATGTAGATGGATTTGAAATATATTTTAGAAATGGAAACCATCAGCCTTATGATAGTGCAGAGATGTGGGGGAATAGGAGGACGGACTCATTTATAATGCCAGCTTTCTGGAATGGGCTGCTGCATGGATAGGATTATGCTTTCTCCCCATTTACTAAGAGGGAAAAGACTTGGGAGGTTCAGACTGGTGGTGAAAATCTAAAACTCTCTAGAATGGCAATATGTAAATCAATGGAAATGTAATTGATGTAACTGATGTGATTCAGCAATCTGTATACGGGGTAAAAATGGGAGTTCATAACCCTTTTGAATCAAACCGTGAAATATGATATATCAAGAAAGATGTAATGTTTTGAACGACCAACAATAAAAAAAAATCTGAAACTCTCTGTGACTATATTAAGTTGTGATGCTTGTGAGATATCTTAAATGTTTTCAGTTTACTTCAGGGAATAATTACCTAGAAAGTTTCATTTTCCACAGTCTTTGATATTGTTATCTAGTTCCCCTAGCTTTATAGAGAATTAAGATATCTTAAGATTGAGGGTCTTGCACAAAATCACAAAATATCTCATAAAGTAGGTAAGTGAGTAGGTGGAACAAATATGGGGAAATATTGGATTATTATATTGCATTGGGAATGTTATTGAGAATTTCATATTCTTTGCTCTGGCAAGGGTTGTCCTGTTAGCTGGGAATTAAATTTTGGGAATGATAGAAAATAATATGAAACTTGCAAAACTCTGCTTATTGAAAGCTTTGGCATTAATTCCTGGTGAAAAGTGAAAGGTGGTTTTATGTTTGTTTTCTAGTAGGTAGTTTGGGAAAGGTACCAGAAAAACAGAGTAGAATCTTTGAACAAAACTCAGCTTCTTTATAATTGTTTAAGCATTTCCTTTGTATCTTGAGGAACCTTATGAATCAGTGTAAAGAGCCCAAGTTTTGAAATTCACTGAACCTGATCTTCATCTCTTGTAAACTGTTCCCTTGGACAAATTCAGGAAGCCCTCAATTTGTTTCATCTTGTATTCAGTGATGGTAAAGTTTGTTTCAGCCATTGGATATGATGTCAAATGTTACTTTTCTTCCTGTCCTTGTCAATTTTGTAACCAGAAGAAAATTTAATTTAATTTAATTTGTCCTGGAGCCTTTAAAGCAACACATTAATATATTAGTCAACTGAGGCCCAAAAAAGATTATAATAGAATAATACAGTGCTACTGTGTCCTTTTGCAGTGTTTCTACTTTCATTGAAAAGATGTAAAGTAATAAAACTGGGCACTGGCACTGGAGGTGTTGCTTAATGATATAACGCTTGCCTAACATGCTTGAGGCTGGACTTCAAACAATAAATAAATAAAATTAATAAAACTTTGTGACCCTGAACGTGTTTTTTTTCTACTTCAGATAATCTGCAAAGCAAAAACAAACAAACACAATCCAAAACAAAACCAGAATAAAGAGATAAAAGAAAGGAAAGTTAGGATACAGGAAAACATTCAGATACTGGAAGTAAAGAAAACAATGGTTAATGATCTATTAACATATGTGCTAATATTTTGACATATCTTAAAATAAATTCAAAATGAGATAGTTCAAGATGAATATGAGGTTAAACTGATCTATGTTCTCTTAGACAAATATTCCTACCGCAAGTCCAAAAAATGTTTTTTTCATTAGGACCATTTCTGATAAATAGTGTTGTTTAATCAGAATATTTTATTATTTTTCATTTTAATCTCCTAAATTTTAGTTGTTACAAAAGAAAATATAGGATAGAATGTATAATTCATCTTGTTAATGTGTGTACACATGTAGCTTTGTAAGTGAACAGGTTTATATGGTGATGCTTATAAAAACGTCTTTTTTGTTGATGATGCTGGGCATGGAACTCAGGTCCTCGCACACATACTAGGCAAGCACTGTACCACAGATTTATACCTCCAGTCTTAGTAAGAGTCTTATAATGATTAAACCTTTTTGTTCTCTTTATAGAAATTGACCAATTTTGACAACATGTAGTGCTGCATTGTGCCTGATGGGATATGATCAATCATGGCATCCGAACTTTGTAAGACGATCACTGTGGCAAGGCTTGAAAAGCACAAGAATTTGTTCTTAAATTATAGGAATCTGCACCATTTTCCATTGGAGTTACTGAAAGATGAAGGACTGCAGTACTTGGAGAGACTCTATATGAAAAGGAACTCCCTTACCACCTTGGTATAGTATTATATTGCATTAAAAATATCATTTACAAATGTGGCCCTGACAGGGACATATTTTGTATATCCTAAGATATTCAGATCAGGATGAATATCCCCTCTTGCAGGTAATACACAAATGAGGGGTTATCGTTAGCTGTGAAATTATTATCCAAGTCACTGCAATTGTGAGGTTGCAGGAGGAATTGTGTAGGAAAGCAAAATATTCACTAAAATACCATTTTGAAAGTTAGTGCCCACTCCAAAACCTCACTTCAGTTAGCATGTGCATCTATCTTGACTTTTGTTTTCTTTGTATGTTCAGTTTCCTATGAGTTTTAGATATTGAGTGCATAGCAGACAATTTAAAAAGGAAACAAGAGAAAGACCAAAGAGGATAATTTGAGTTATAGGCATTAAGAAGGGAATGATTTGAAGATGAAAACATTAAGTGAAACATTTAGAAAGATTAATGAAGCTTCAAGTGTTAAAAACAAAACCCAAAAAACCCTCCTTTATAATGGCCATATGAAAATCAAAATGATTTTGAATTGGATTATCATATAATTTGTTGGAAAAAATTTTGCCACATAAGCAACATTTGATTCACACTTTATGTTCTAATAATAAGAATATAATTTTGTTATAAATTCTATTTCATACAAGAAACTATTTTAAAAAATTTCAAAACAATGTCCTAATCAGGCTTTTATTTCCATTGCATTATAAATTTGATCTCCATTTTAAATGAATTTACTTTATATGTACTTTTCTGGCTATCAACTAGAGTCTTTACTTACTTACCCTAACTTGAGTTTTTTATTTGAATTCTCATTTTTACTCATTTTAGATGATTTATGACATATTATTGTTTCTTTCATGAATTGACCCTTTAAAAATTCCTTTCTACATAATGGGCTTTTGTAAATATCTAAAAAATACTTGGTATTGCTTTCACATAAATGGCATGTGTTCCTAGAAAAATTTCATTTAATCTGTGCAAAATACCTATAGTAGGTAGAGAGCACTATAAAGTTTATCTTTGTACCTGGAAGTAAATGGATATTATATTTTATTTTTAGCATTGGCACATATTGGTACATATGTTGAATGCCTCGTTAGATTTTTAAAATTAGATGTTTCAGTGTTTAAACTTGGAAAGTCTATATACAGTTACATGAATCATTTTTGCAAAATCATCATTGCATAATATGAAGCCATATTTACCTAGAAGTTTTTAGCCCTTTGAGGAAGAACTAGTGTAAAAAATATTTTTTCAAGGATGATAGCCCAGATTTTCCCATGTTTGTTACTTATGTACAAAAAAATAGTTCATGAGTGGATTACGTCTTCCCTGTCGGTTATAGTCCAATGGAGTAGACTTTCTTCAAATAAATTAACCTTTGCTTATAAAATTTAAAGTAAACTTTTGGTCTTGTGATAGTTTCTCATCTGAAATTTCCTATTTGGAAAATATCAAGTATCTACAGTACAGTTCAAGTATATCTGCATAATGCCTCATAGCATACATTTTCAAATTAATGTTCTGCTACCTTTTTAATCATCAAAGGTTAAATTGTTGCATGCTTATAATGCAAGGTGATATACTTTAATTACTTCCTCTTAGTAATTTAAACATGTGATTCATGTGTATCAAAGACCTTTTTAAAGTATAAAGTGCTATACAGATATCAGGGGAGGGTGGGAATCATAGCAGTGATCCCAAACCATCCCATTCCCTATATTTAATACAGTTTACTGTGCAGTCTTTGAGAACAAATGAAATAATACTTGACCCAGAGTGCTCAAACCTAGTGAATCAGGGTTTTTAGGCTGTTTGTTGGTCTTAAGAGAAAACAGGTCCTATGGGAGACTTTGTGGAATTTGACTTACAATTGTACCATGTCCAAAAGGAGAGGGCATAATTGAACATATATAGTATCTCAAACACATTTTGGCTTAATTGGTCTTTTATTATTTATTTTTAACAGGCCTAGGAACCTGTCATTCATTTCCATTTTCATGTTGTTTTATTGTTTCATGTTAAAGTTGTCTCATTGTGTTAAATAGCTCTTCCTTAACATTCTCCTTCTGTTCTGTTCTCCGCTTCTCAAGTGAAGCCACTTGGTGGGAAGAGAAGTAGGCAACATTATACAACTGCTGTCCTTCTTCCTCTGCCCTTCAAGGCACTTGATCTAGCACAGTGGCTCATATTTGTAGGATGACCATATATGTCAGGTGTTCAGAACTTGGCAAGTGCCCATATTTAGAACTGAAATACAGGAAAAAGCCTTTTTGTACACTTAAAATAATGAACTTTTTCATTTTTTAATCACAGAAGTGATACCTTCCCTTATGTCAAACCACATAGAGGAATATACAGTGTGTCTTATAAATAAGAAAAAAATTATTATTCAAAGATCTGGAGGCTGAAAGTCCAGGAATAAGACTCCATGGATGGTGCCTTCTTGCTGAGTCCTCGCCTGGTGGGAGGAGCAAGAAGGTCTCTCTTGGGCCTCTTTTGTAAGAGCACTGAGCTCATTATTGAGGGCTCTGCTCTCATGACCTAATCATCTCCCAAAGGCCCCTTATAACATCAACACCTTGGGGATAAGGATTTCAGCAACAACTTTGGACTAGGCATAGACATTCAGGCCATGGCATCTTCCACCCTACTCACTTGTGTTTATTTAACTATATATTCTGTATTTATGTATATTTTTCCCTTTATTAATAAAAATAGAATATTACTACATGTATTTCTCTGCAAATTTCTATTTTCACTTCATTATTCCACTAACCTCTAGACTAGTAGAGATACATTTACCCTTGTACATATGTGCATACCTAAATTTAGGATAGTCTTGAAGGATTGTTGGGTCAAAAGAGACACATTTCACATTTAATAATATTTTAAAGCAATTAATATTATCACTTATTTGTATGGTTAAGAAATCTTCAGACTTTATTTTAAACACAATATGAGTTGGTTTATATAGGAAATCAGTTATGTAATAGGTAAATAAGAGGTAGTATAGGAAACATAATTTTAATTTCTAATATTTGCCTTATTTTAAATGCAGTTTGAGAATTATTAAGTCTCTCATATTTGAGATAGTTATAAGTAAGAGTAACATAGGATTTATGTTTGTCATACAAGTATTCATACATTTATGGAATGAATAACTGAATATAAAGTAGAATTACATAAACTCTACAAGAATTCTAGACTGAGAACCTTCAAGGGCAGGAACAATGTCTTGAGTTCTGCATCCCCAGTGTCTGGCCTACTGCCTAACATTTGTAGGACACATAATTTAGTTCTTTGTAGCAGGATTGTTAGAAGATTTTAAACATATTTCATTTGCATGATACTAAAAAGTGACTTTAACAGGAGCTTAGGAGGTAGAGCATTATTCATTCATTTAACATAGATTTATTCAGCACTTCTTGTATACCCAGCACTTTTTAAGACACTGACAATAGATAAATTATGGAACAAATTCCTACTCATGGAATTTTCAAGATCATGATTTGTGGAGAGTGAAATTTTAAATTACTGTTTTGAAGTCTACATGGCAGTTAGCTAGAGAAAAGTAATAGACTTGTTGCACTTTGTTTACCAAGCATTTGGTGAAATGCTGATGGTAGAACCAAACCATCTGCTTGTATAGGGGGTGTTCTCTTGCTTTAGTCAGCTGTTTGAGGTGTGAGTAAGGGGATTTCTACATTTCATACAGGTTTAGATTTTTGCTGGGTGGATGCAATACAAGTACAGAGAAACTAAGAGGTTTAGGATATCGGCAAGAGAGTATTTAAATGGTAGGAGGTGAAATCTGAACTGTTTGGGAGGCAAAGTAAGGAAGGAGTGGTGAGGAGAGAAGCCAAAGGAACCATTGATGTTAAAGATGTTCTGCATGATTGAGGATTGGAATATTGTGAGCCAGCTGAGGATTGGAATATTGTGGTTGCTTATGAGCACTTTAATCATGGAGAGTGATGATGATCTGTTGATGGTGACCAGGTCTGGTATACAAGGTGGAGGGGGCCAAGATAGAGCCAAGAGCAGTAGCTAGGGTCTTTTTAAGAGGGAGGACAATATTTGGAATATAGTTTCTAGTTTCATTTGTACATATGAATGGACCAAAAAGTTATCTTAGTTTTAATGAAAGAGGGAAGTTCAGACTTAGGGCTAAATAACAAGAGCAGCTGGATTCTCTAATTAAGCAATTATTCTATGCAACAAGAGAATTTAACTTAAAAGTTATATTCTAGTGAGATTGAAGGGAGGAGGAGGTCTGTCAATCATTTTCCTGAATTGGGCTGGGGGTTGAGGCACAGATGTTTTTTCTTTCTTGTTGACCCAAGAGAAAGTGTTTCTTTATTCTCCACATCTAATTAGGGACAGGCATATGATAAAAGAATATAGGCAGTAAAAAACAAAACAAAACAAACAAACAAAAAAAACACATGAAAGGGGCCTGGGGTTGTAGCACAGTGGTAGAGTACTTGTCTAGCATGTGGGGTGCACTTGGTTTGATCCTCAGCACCACATAAAAATAAATAAATAAAGGTTAAAATAAATAGACATTCAACTTCTATAAGAAAACTGATAAATCAGTGATCATTTTTAGCCACTGGATTGCCAAAAAGTAAAAACATTAATACCTAGTGTTAAAGATTATATTAATACCCAATCTTGGAGACCAATGATGGTCAAACACTGTTGGAATGAAAATTGACTTGATATTTGTGTTGATTGGTGGAACCTTGTTAGTAAAATATTATATGAGTATGTGTTTGAATCAGCATTTTCACTTACAAGAATTTACTCATCCTCCCCCCCAAAAAAACCAAACCCCATCTGTGAACAAGGATGTTCATCACAGCACTGTATATGAAGAATTGTTTTAACCTAAATGTTCATCAAAATTGGATTGTTTGAAATATGGTAGCAGCTAACATCGCTTGAGTCTTGAGTGCCATCACTTGAATGCCAGATCCTGTTTTAAGCAAGTA